ATCTAACACCCTCTTTCGAAAAGGTTACTTATCGTACGTTACGCGAGAAATTGAATTGTGGAGCGACAGAGTCGCAAACTTCCGAACAATATATACCTTTTTATATACTAACTTTATTTAATAAATTAAACTTGGATTAAGCGAATATGTTATAGGTAGGGTTAGCAATGGAGCCAATGGTGATTAAAAAACTAGTATACACTAGGAAAACGTCACAACTCTCACTTATTATAGGAATAAATTTCTTTAAATTTCTAAAATGCAATATAATTTTAACTCAATATAATAAGCTCGCCGATCATGGATGCTGAAGCGAACAGAGTGCACGTGACAGAGTCGATCAAACCTGACGTAAAGAAGAGTGTCCTACGATGCGCTTTGAACAATAAGCTCATTCAGCACTCCATTGGCTCCATTCGAACTCCATTGAACTCTGGTTATAGGATAGCACGAAAGCCTTAAGTTTACTTAGAACATTTTATCTGGTTAAAAGATGAGATAATCTATCTAAACCCTTTTTTAATGTTTAGGTTAGAGCAAGTGCGAGCATTGTTCTTTTTTAGTGTGAGGTTAAGCGCTTGGATCCAGTGGATAACGACTATAATTTTTGTTTGTCTATTGTATAAATACAAATTGTGATATCTGCTTATAAACTATCCGACTAAATTCGTTGAATCAATTAAACTATTAAAAAATATTATTACGCATATAAATTAAATATACAGTCATCCTCTTCCACAATCACCTCCTATGAATCATAGCTTCTTCATAGTCACCATTTTTTGAAAATTATTGGCAATATATTCATTTAAAAAATCTTTATACAATCACATTATTATTAAAACTTTATAATCATATCTTTTTGGTGTAAAATAAACGGCAGAAGAGGTCCATTGTACTTTTAATATTTTATGTTAAAATCTTTATAAATACATAATAAAACTATGAGTACTCGAAAAATAATTTTATATATAAGGAAACATACATCACTAAATATTGAATAATAAAACGGATATCTGACTATCAGCAAATACTTATTCATTAGCCGATAAAACCAGATATCCAATAATAATTCAACAACAAGCAAATCTACTATATTTATCATACATGATCATGTCTCTAGTTATTACATAAAATAGAAACGGTGCTGATAATTTTGCAGTAATATTGTTTTCTATTTCTGACATTTGGATAATAAATATAAATGGTATTTATTATGTGACAAATGGGATTATTACACTAATTTCGCCTAATTTAAACATTTTATCTTTACGCTTTTACAACCTAAATATTAGATCATAAGTTCCTGTTATTTACAGTTAAATTGGAAGCTAAATTGGTTAAATTGATATAAAGTTTCAAATTGTAAACCAATTCTAATCGATAGGCGTTTTAATAGTGACATTTTACTCCTTTTAATAATCGTATTACGAATACGTAACAAGAAAACTTAATTTATCGAATTTGGAGAAAAAGAAGAAACCATGATAAGTACTACTCAATATTGTATTAAAAATATTGGTCATACAATAAAAAGGTATTTGGAAATTTTCGTCAGTTAGTGAGTTGCATGACAGCACACGTGTGAAATTAATTGGTGGAAGAATATTTTTGGTTATTTTCAGCACATACGTGGTATGACAAAAAAACAATACCATGTTTATGATATTCTTGATGAAATTTTACACAGATGATACCATTTTTTGTCAAAAACATTCAAGGCAAACATAATACGTATCAAATTATGAGTTAAAATTTAAATTAAAATCAAATATTAGTTCGATTAAACTTATTTGGATAATGATATTATTTTATTATATTATGTTATGTGAGATACATAATATCTAGTCAAATTGTAACATCGACATCTATCCATTATCAAATTTGGAGTTTTTGCTAATATATATATATTTTTTTATTTATTTATTTATTTTTATTTTTTTGCATAGAGAACTTTTGCATAGAATAAAAATTTAAACCATTCATGATCCATAAGTGATTGCATACAGTAAGTGAAATATAAGACTACGTATAATATTAAAAATGTATTTACATAATTAAAAAATTTATAGCATATGTAATAATTCAAAAGCATAGATACAGCAAAAGAATAAAATTCTAAAATCAAGAATTTCAAGTTTTTTGGGCAAAACATCTCTGCATGTAATTGTAAGATTTATTTTCGTTTACTTCTTTAACAAAGGTGTCCAATATATCATTATATTCTTCATAAGTTATACCCAAATATTCAGGAAGGTAAACAATACTTTGGTAAAATCTACGAATATTGATAATTGACTATGAAAAAAAATAGAGTAAAATATATTAAAATGCATGGTATACTTGTAATAGCATAAATTGTTGGAAATTATTATTTTACTTACATATTTACCAAAACATCCAAACCATTCTCCTATTGGATATTCTACTTTAACACATTGTATATTTGTAAGCATCTCATTTGATTCAAGCATTTTTGGCAACAAAGCACTAATACTAAGATTAACACCTTTTTCTTTCATGCAGGCTATATGAACTAAAATAAATAAAATATGATTAATTAATGATTTAAATTAATTAATATCTTTAAATTAATATAAAGAAAAATACACTGCAGTATATCAAGTAAATTACTAACCAGCCTCTTCTATGTATTTTGTAACCTTCCCACAATTTATAAATTGAGGAATTGCTTCTGAAGATTCTATCCAACCATCATATTTTAAAACTCTAACAACATCATTGATCAACTCAGACCATTGTAACTCGGTGAATGCAGAAAACATCATGCTCAAATGAACAAAGTCAAAAGTTTCCATAGGAAATGGAATTCCATAAGTTACATTGGATGTAAGAAAACAGACGTTAGGAGGAC